TCGCACCATTGATAGCAGCGCGAACCCTCCAAGCCATAGGCCGACCTGCCATGCCAAAGCATTTCATGAGTTCATGATTGCACGTATTGCATGTACATGGCATGTAGAGCATGCTGCGCCGGGGCTGCACAAGTCTGCTCTAAAGTGGTGCTTGAATGCATGAGTGCTCTCCACATGGTTCGCATCGGTTTCCTTCTTGCTGGGTTGCAAAGGCCACTGATCTTAAAGCCTTTGGCTATCCAGTAAGAACCCCAACCACGTGCTTTGGAGTCCACTTAAGGACGCTCTCACGCACAAGTGAGGCCAATGGTTGCCAATGAACTCACATCAAAAGCTTCGTTGAGCCAGTCAACCATTAGACCAAAACCCCGTAGTAGCTTGAACAATTGCAAGCATATGAGATCGATCAATTTGGCTCTCACTTGGTCTCAGCGTATGCCTCAGATCCGTGGCAGGGAGCGCATGCATGAACCAAATCGCACAAAAGAAAGTGTGGGGAAAGGTCAATACCGGCGTGTTAAACAAACGCTTGTATCATGCATATTTAATAACTGGGGTACCTTTCTTCCCGCAGCTGCGCAATCCTCCGGTTCCTTCCCTGCATCTTGGGCTGCTTTGAACGCCCTCCGATATGCCTTGGATTTCCTAGCGTTCCGCTGCTTCTGTTCAGCCTTGGCATCGATTCTGCTTTCCTTCTCAGCACTTGCAGCGGGTGGGTTTGCAGCAGCTTTTCGCTTTTTGCTTGGCGCCCCTTCCTCAATTTCAGGGCTGGCAGGTTTTGTCGGTTCATCATCATTGCTGCTGCTCGCTGCCTTGCGCTTGTTCGTCTTTGTTTTTGCCTGTTGCTCCTGGGCATCAGGCTTGGGGTCTTCTGTCGATGTGGTAGGTTTCTCCTTTCGCGAAGCCTTTGCTTTTGCTTTTGCTTGCGCTTTTGCTTTTGCTTTTGCTTGCGCTTTTGCTTTTGCTTTTGCTTTTGCTGCTTTTGCTTTAGGTTTTGTTGTTTTGTCGTTGGCCTCTGCACTCTGACCCTTTGGTTTGCGACCCCTTCTTTTCGGCCCAGATGTGCGAGCAAGTTTGTTTTGCTCCTCTGGTGAAATGCATGGCTCGTTTTCCACACACATGGGCTTAGGCTTCATCGAAGGTTCTGGCAATGGCATCTCAGCTTCAGCAACTTCAGGCAAGGGTTCAGCACTGGGTTCAGCGCCGGTCTTGTCTGCAGGCGGCGTCTCACAAGGGACGTCATTGGGCTTGGTCGAAGCAGTGGGACTGGTAGGAACTGCAGGCGCCTCAGGCGCCGTAGGTTGAAGAGCTTTGCCGGCATTCATCGAAACCTACAGCGCGGTGCTTATCACATCGATCGTATAATTAATATCGGTAATCACCAAACGCGTGTTCCAGTGCAAAAGCTCCATGGTAGCTTTCGCAAGTCTTTGATTTAAAGCCCTGTGAACCCAGCCTCGCCACCGGCAGGCTCCTGGCCATCTTCCAACTTTGGCAAGGCGTGGAAAACAGGGCTTTTGTCCTGGAGTGCGGGGGGAGAGGATGCGAAAGCTGCGGCGTACGCTTCTGCTTCTGCAGCCACCATGGGCTGTGTTTCGATGTTGTCCACACCTGGGTTGCCGGTAATATATATATATATATCGATCTGGTCTCAAAAGAAGCAAATGCATGCATACAAATTTTAATCGCTGCTTCGGAACCATTTTCCCCAGATTTGGCTTGATGTTTGGCGGCAAGAAGCTGCTGCAACTTCAAACGTTCATTCTCCAATCCTTTCAACATCACTAGATGTGCCAGTTTCATTTCGGCATCTTTCAAGGCTTCCAAGGTTCTAGCACGCTTTTCCGGAGGCTCCAACGAAACAGGAGGCGAAGCCTTGGTCATGGCCTTGATTTCCGGTGCCGGTGGTGTTGGGATTGGGCTGGGGCACGGCGCCTGTTGAAGAGTGGCGGCACAATCACTCAATAGATCACAGCCTTGGCACATGAAGGCTTTTTTCAATGGTTCATGCTGTCCATCAGCAGCCCGGGGACATGGGGTAGCCATCAAGTTGCTCTCAACGATGTGAGACTGCTTACAATGCAAACAGCGGAAACCACACTTCACGGGTACATGAGGTGAAGGTTTGGGCCCAGTTTGTGGAGTCGATGTAGTGCCTCAGATGCGCACTGCAGTAACGCACGTATAAACCCCACATGACATGAAGGACTTCGATCACGTTTATTTGTGCGATTTTGTTCGCAATGCAACTTGAATGCCACGAGGTGAAGGTGTGGCCAGCACTTCAGAATCACTTCGCTGAGGAGGCAAAGGCTTGTCACCGACGGTGCCTGGGTAAGAGATTGAACAAATGCGCATATGACATATCACATCGTTGGTCCGTTTTGATTTCATGCATGCATAGTCCAATGAACTCATATTGGAATCGCAAACGAGTTTCATGCTGGACTCTCAACAGAACGAGGAGGGATGGCAGGTAGAGCTGGAATATCCTGGGGCAGTGGTTTGAGAATTTGCTTCATGCATCCTGTATCCTTCTCATGGACTAACGGACTACATCTTACAAACAGCTTTGCATTTTCTGTACATGATGATTGTGCAGTCTATCCTCCTCGATTTCCTCGTCTTCCGTTGGCGCCTCAGACTCCGCTGCCTCGAAGTCCTCCTCGTCCACGGCATCAGTTTTGATGGCTCCTTGGCTGTGGCTGTGATGACCGGGTGAGGTGTTTAGACTGGGGTTATGAAGGCTCAAGTTCCATGAATGATAGTTCCTCAAAACAGCTACAAGAGATTACAAGAATCAATATGCAGCTAGAACTCCTGGTTCCAAGGAATCGTTAGATGGAAGGCGTATCCCGATCACCTCAAACAGCTCCTTGAACTCTGAGGTGCGGGGAACATGTGGGCGACGGGCAGCACTAGCAAGGACGGAAATCATATTTCTAAGCACCCAGGATTCCGTTTTGATCTCCTCACCTTAGTTAGCAATTCACTAGGATTTGTTGGTTTGGTCAACATGTACTGCGTGGGCACCTTTTGCCAATCATTTGCTTCATGTTCGTCAAGCGACTATTGGGAAGTGGCTTACCTCTGGGCCTGCAGTGAAAAAGGAACCTCGCCACCAAATCCTCAAGGACTTTCACGCTTGGGCGCATGCCTTGGCCAAAAAAACATCTAAAATCATCTAAAATCAGTGAAGACACTAGACACTATAGTAAAGACCAATCATGACCAATCATGCAAGTGTTCCTTGAACTATTTCTGTTTTGCTGACTAGATACCAAGGTTGGCCACCAATGGCTTCAGTAGCTCATAGTTGTCACAAACAGTGGTTCTATCGATAGAATTACCACGAAGCAAAGAGATGACCCCCTTCGACGCGGCCCTTGAAGCCACTGATTCCAGCTTAAGCCATTCCAGCAGCACAGGGCATTCTACTTGCCCACCACCAATCACCACCATGGCTGCACGCTAAACAAAATTTGAGCCCACCCTGAAGAGATATATGAAGAGAAAGGACCCAAAAGTGGACCCAAGCATACATATCAAAACCGCAGTCAAAACCGCTTGCGAATGTGTGATTTGCCCTTCTGACGAACATTGGCAAGCCCAGCGATCGATGCGCCCAGGCCTCACGACGACCCATGAAGAGATCCTCTGCGCATACCTGGAAAACAACAGCTTGCTGCGCGTGCACAAAGAACCGTGCAAATTCATCCAATATCATCCAATCACAGGGCGCACGTTAACCCCCGTATGCTTCTCCAAGAGCTCCGTGAGTTTGTCCACGAAGCATCCAAGAGCTGTTCAAGAGCTCTTGACCCCAAAGACTGCTGGAAGCGTGCGTCAAAATCCAGTCGTTTTCAAAAAACAGTCGAGGCTTCAAAATCTGGTCGTTTTATCAATAAACCATACGAATGTTCCATTTATAGTACGAATGGCCAAGGTTCAAATATTTCAAGTACGAAGGGTCCTCTAGGTATATATATACTTAAACTATCCCTTAATATCCCTTATATAGGATCTGAGCCCTTCTCCAATAGGGTTTGGAGAAGGAGTCCGGACCCCTCCGTTTCGGTGTGGGGCCCGACCCCTGCAGTGAAGGGCCCAAGGATTCTTAAGGATACTATGATCATGTATGATAATGCATATACTATATGCTACTTATCATGCTGCTATAATGCCGTTCAATCCTGTTGCTACAAGTATGCTGTGGAGCTTGGCTTTCGCTCAGCCAAACCCAGACTTTGGTGAGTGGCTACTTGCCCGCAACCCCCATCGAAAGACGCGCGTGCATTGGAACGAACTCTCCGAAATATTTGCCGGCTCCGGTCGGGCTCGCGGCTCCCCAAAATAGGTGGAAAAGAGAGCGACACGAGAACGACACCAAACCAAACATCAAGCATCATCAATTAAGAGCTGGGTCAGCCTTCTGTTGACAGGTCAGGTCAGGGTCTGATTCATCAAGCAAGATTCAAGACGCCCTAGGGATGATGAATGGCCCTGAAAGAACTGGCTTCGTCGGCACACTCACATGGCCCTGAAAAGGTTTTGGTCCGCCTTCCGGATCAGGAGACTCCGAAATTCCTCGGGCCTTCACGAGTAAAACAAGCTGCTGTGGTTCTATTTTGGTGTTGGGCAATGGCATACATGACCAACCGAATCAATTCTATTTGCTTCAGAATTGAGGATGATGGGAAGTCAATTCTGAAGTTTTATTGGGCTCTTGACGCCTATCAGCAATGGATGACATGAGCTGCAGCGGAAACTGTGACATGAACCTCCACCAGCTGGGCGGTTGCAGTTCGTTTCATACCTCCATCGTCCCTCCTCAAGCAGCTTCGCGGGAAAAAACAGAAGCACCATTATACTCTCGCGTTGACATATCTTGGAAGGCGCCCAACTGCCCAATAATTATGGAACTCAGAAACAGAACCTTCAAGGCAATCGCAATCCCGGAAATGTTGCTTTTCTCGGCAGTTTCACTTCAGACCAGGGTCTGGTAAGAACATGTAAATTGGCCTTCTGAAAGGCACTCTCCAGTCGCGAGCTCGATGAGCAGCCAAAGCATACATGGCCATAAGAATAAAAACAAGACACCTTGGGTGAGGGAGGGGTGACATTGTCACTAGAGCAGGGGTGGCCTTGTGTTCCACTCTTAGCTAATTGGATAATGTTGAAGCACAAAGTATCCATCCAAAAACTTAGAAGTGCTCATTCATATCTCCGAGGATGTTGACTGAACTTCCTGGAACCCCAAGGCTTTCGAGCACGTTTGGGAGAAAGTTCGGAGTGGCACTCGTATCTGCGAAAGGGTTCAATCGTTGTCCATTTGCCCCACTGTGGAGAGGGTCGTCACAATGGACTACCGCACACGACTGGTGGGATTCCCAGGAGCACTGAATGGTTCCTCTCGCCTACACGGGTATGAACACAGGGAGACCTCCGAACCGGCTTGAGTGATGTGTTCCTTTCTAACACACCTACATCAGGGTTTCCGTAAGGAAAAGCCAGTGGGTGATCGATTGTTTCTCAAGAGCATAGCTGGCCCGGGTGGTCCAACGGCAGCCTCACCACGTTTCGTTCGTCAAGCGCAGGGTCCTTGCATGCAAGAAGGATCATGTATACAGGTAGTATCTTGATCATGTTGCAACCCCCCATTTGAAGAGATCTACATTACACCTAAAGCCTATCTAAGTCGATGGAGTTGGGCGGTGACTTCTGTGTTTCTGCCAGGAACCAGTGTGATGTCCATTGAGCCAAATACGTCCTTAGATCTCTGAAAGCACTGATCTCAGACTCACTCTTCGGATCTCTTCCGAAACAACAACGGCTGAACCGCAGGGTCACTGATGTCTTGAAAGGAACACATCTGGAAGTCTGGCGCCTAATCTGCTTGTTGAGCGAAACGCCAACACCGGGAGCGAGTTATCAACGTATGCAATGCAAATGCATGCAAATGCGCGGTCCGTGCCGTATGTTTCGCAAGTGCATCGGACACACAAGAAAAAGTAAAAACATGTACAGTAAAACATCATCCACTACTGACCCGGCATACCAACAGTGTGCTTGCTGTCCCCCAATGATGAGCAATCGGAACAGGTGAAGAGATGGTCTCAGCCAAGATTCACACTGAAGAAGGACATCAATTCCTTGGTCCAGTGGCGCAAAACAACGAATCATGAAACATCTTCAAAGTCAAAGTCTGACCAGATTTGGGCACACAAAGAGACAAATCGAAGGTCAAGCCCACTCACCCAGTGGTGAACGAAGTGGTGAAGGAAGGTCAAGCCCATCAGTATCAGTTTTTGAAAGTCTTCGACTTTTTTCTATTGGCTGGTATTAAGATTATTAAGCACCCAACATCCCAGGCTGAAAGAAACGTCCCAGGCTGGGAGCTAGCCAGGTGCATTTGCTTAGCACCTTTCAACATCTTGGACTCTGGGTGAAGCGTTGAGAGCTCCGTTTCGTGACGCTGGTGCTGACGCTGGTGGACAGCGCCCTTAGCAAAGGTTCCGAGATCACCGCAACCATCCGTTTGGACAACTCTTTCAAACCCGTGGACAACAACATATTGCCGTTCATGTACAACAAAAAACGTTCAAAATATCAAAGGGTATACCCTTAATAACATGGACAACTAATCTGCGTCCTACCCGAGTAACTAGCAGGAAAATTCAAACATAGTTCTGGAGCTTCAACATGGTTCAACCCTTCTGAGCTTGACCTCGAGAGGGCCTTCAACCAAGCTTTCTAACCAAGCCTTCTTCGTTCGAGGTCGAACGTCAGAAGTACTACCTCTCGACCTCTCTCAATGTTCACCTGAAATTGCAGGCCCTGGGTTTCAAATCAAACCTGCAATCACCTGCCGAACGAACAGATTCGGCCTTGCGGCCTCTCACTCTGCCGACGAGGCTCCAACAGGTGATAGACGCCGAACAGAAGCAAATCCTTTTCGGCCCAGCTCCGATTCAGTACCATGCAGGTGGCCAGAAACCTCCAGCTCCGATGAAAAACAACTCGCCCCTCCGAGCAATGGCATCTCTCCATCCATCCATCACCCTCTGAATACACGAATCTGAGTGGTTCATGAAGGCAACAATATCCTTCAAATCGATACTTACAGGGCCCCCCCGTATGACTTGAATGCCCCAAGCCCGGAAGTAACCAATTGGCCAACATGGACAGGTACAAGATGCAGCGGCGTCCGACCGTAAAGCCTCCAAAAGGTTCAGAAAGTTTCCACAGGAGTCAAAGGTTCAGAGTTACATCAAGTAACGATCAAAGGTCTATTATGCACCTGGACGATACGATCCATCGACCAAAAAGTGATCTGCAGAACTCACAATAGCGATGCAAAGGCTGACCAAAGTGCTCTAGTTACAACAGAGAGGTGGTCATATCAGCCATGGAATCCATGGGTTTGTACCCTCGTCCCTGCATAATGTAGCCAAAATCTGCACACCAAAACAAACAAAGGACTGCTCTCGTCAGGTTCCACTCCCACCTCAGCCTCCTTCGTTCCAACCGCCGAGCCGCTGCGTGACGATGTCCATGGGCCATCCTTCCGAGGATTGCAGCCCGGTGAGTCCGGACACCTGCGAGGCTTGGATCTGCGGCACAGGGCGCGTCGATTCGCTGGAACTCTGCCGCGAGAAGGGCGCACCTCGGCTGCGAAGCGTGTGAAACAGCGCGCAGGTGGCTGCGCAACAACTCAAAGAAGAGCACGCAGCGTTCGCGATCTGATCAGGGGTTCGGGAGTTCAGATAGGGTGGCGGTCAGGTTTTCCAACTATGACGACGACACACCCTCAACTGCTCGCTATGAAGCTCTTCTCCGGACTCGACAGCGACAGCGCCGTCTTTGTCTTTGAATTCTCTGGAGGCGCCATTGTTCGGCCGAAAAGAAAGGAGAGAGAGCTCTGCGTTCCTTCCAAACGAGGAGGGTTCTCTTTACACGGAAACAACGGACAGTGATTGCTTGGAACGATATGACGTTGGTCAAATGTTGCACGTGAAAAGGGAATGAAAGGACAACAACATCATCCTTTGTGCGTTTGTTCTTTTTTTGTGGACCTCAATATATATATATAAACTATCGGTTGCTTGTTCTTCACTCTTCGAAGATCGAGAGGCTTGGGTTTCTGGAGTTGAAGAAGCGTTGAACTCGTGCAGTGGGCGAACAAGGCTAAACACCCTTTTAAAAGGTCCTTCGATTTGGAGTCTGGGCCATTCACGACATTCACGACATTCTCTGAGCCGTGAGGCTGCGGGGCAAGCAGCTGGAACAACAGTGGATGATGGGCACCCCAATCCTCCAATAGGCAATTCTTTGGAGCTGCTGATGTGTTTGATAGCAATAAGCCTGTGAACTTGAGCAAAGGAGCTCTCCTTTAATCGGCAAGGTGGCCGCAAAAAAGAACATAGTCTGACATTTTGATCGCTTCAATCAGATTGCCTGAAACATACTCAAACAACACTGCCATCGCCATCAAACACAACGGTGGAAGTAGCTTGGACACATTGGTGCAAATCCCGGCCATCTCCTGAGTCAAAGTCCTCGAAGCAGCCCTATCCTTCGAATCCTAGGGTAGGCTACGTCACGTCTCCTCAAGAATCTGCACATGAAAACAAGCTTGTTGTGCCTTCCGGTGAGGGCAGAAGGTCTTTTTGTTTGATACCTAAAAGCCTCGCAAAGCCTCGCTCGGCTGGTCGGCGACCTTGCCTTGGCCGTGGGAGGGTGCAAGTACCTGGCCAAAAGGGAAGAAATCGGACCTCAAATCATGGGACGAAAACAAACAAATGACAAAACAATGGAACGATATATACATATTAATGCAGTCACCTGATGATGTCACATGTTCTTGAAAGCAACTTGAAGTATCCTCCAACAGCTTGCATGAATCGATCTGAAGCTAAGCCTCTCCCGCTCCCCAAAAAATGACACGTCTCCGCGCCCACTGCGCACGCTTTGGTCAAGGCTGGGCGCTCGTAAGGTGCCACAGGCTCAGCAGTGATCTCGGTGGAGCTGAGCAGATCAGGAGAGAACATCTTGGTCAAACGCCCAAGGGGCTTGAAACATGGCGAACACATCCTAAGCCGAAGGTACTTGTCGACCACTATAGTTAGATCCCCCCACATTGAACCCCCAAGCACTGGAGATAGCTGGAGAATATCTGGAAACCATTGATTGTAGTACCATCCCAACCAGTATAGAGGAAGAAGAAACCCAACACCCTCTACACCAAAGATGAGAAACCAAGGTCAGGACCATCCAGGTCTACTTCGATCTAAGCTTTGTGTCCCAGATCTGCGCTCCGTGGCCCCACCTCCCATAGTGGGTGACCCAACTCGACGGCACCACAAGGACTCCGGGTGAGTGGCTGAACCGCTGGACTCTCAAACGTGGACACGGCTAGGCACGGCAGGTGTGTGGCGATCGTCCTTTGTGGAGACGGAAGGTGTGTGGCGATATACTGCCGGAGTGCTACCGGGAGTGGTACCTGTGCTACCGGGTCACCCTGTTTGATGGTATCTGAAGATCGAAACTAAGAGGGCACCCATATGTGAGAAAAGACCTGTATGCTCTGGTTATGCCGTTTTTTTTGCCCCGTGTTGTCTGTGTTGTGAATCCCACCCTGAAAAAACATGTTACTATAATGTAGACTCGTGGATAATAACCCCCCATATGAAGAGGATGTTCAATTCAAATGTCGGGGGTTGTTAATCAAGAGTCATCCAATCTGGCTGTTAGAGCCTTCCTCCTTCTCCAACCACCTTCAGCAACAAAACCTGCCAGTGAGGTATTTGAGTTGATCACAAAATCTGTGCAGCACTGGCTCTGGAGGGAAAGATCTGGTGTGTGGCCCCCAACCCCTACGCAGTAGTTCACACAAATCGCTCATACATGAGCGGCATTCCAAACGTCTCATACTTGGATGATATCGTAAGGATTTATTTACACATGCACTGATGCAATGCTGACGCGCCCGCATATGCAATGCTGTTCACAGGATGGACATGTCAACCCCATTTTGTCATGGCCAGGGAAGCCAAGTGTGGGCCAAATCGGTCTATTCCAA